CCATCCCACAGCTTGCCAGGGATAAGCCCGATATCACTCCCCTCCCCCCTCACATCTGGTTTAATCAAGGAATTGGGTTCCCTAGAAGGGGTGTAAGAAGATTCACCACAGCCATAAACACCTTCAGTGAGGTTAGTCCTTTGAGGAAGTAACCAATGAGAAGCAGTCAAGGAACATCTTTCACTGCACTGATTGGTATAATCTATTCCCCAGGAGGAAGCAATGGCACTTTGAACCCCATTCCCTGAGTCCTTTAGTGTAAAACTTCTCTGTCCGAATTGGTCAGCCTGCTGCCAAAGATTCTATTGTCCTGTTTAGGCAGGTGGATCCCGTTCCTCCCTAACAGGCTACAATCACTAAAGCACAACACACTGTCATAAAAGGCAAAACCTTCTCGATGGCATCAGCCTTGAAGCCAGATGTTGATCAGCACTATGCAATTGGATGCTGAAACACTGTGGTGGAACAAGGCATGAAATGGAATAAGTACAGGATTTTTTTCAGACGAAGTTGGTGCGGTCTATGGGGTGGGCACTTCAGCAGTTCTGCAGAACGAATCCTAACTGTCTCTAGCACCGAGAAATGAAACAATTTTCTCAAGATATATCTCAAACAGTCTTTCTTACTGTATAGTTAATTGAGGAAAAAAAATTCACTTTTTTCCTAAATTTTGATGGTTCAGGTAGAAGCTGAACCAGAAGTACTTTTGGCATTATGGGGACCCTGTTCCCTCAGCTTCATTTTTATTAAATGCTTTTTGTATTCCTGAAGGTGTGCTTCTGGTTAGGGACATCCAAGAATTACAGAAAGCTCTTTTCTTCTGGTGTGCTTTTTGAATGTGTAGTTGTGGAGTCTAGTGGTCAACATAGCAGGATAGAGTTTTCTTGTGTTCTCTGATTAGAGCCCTTCTCTGTTTAAATCAAAAAATGACAAATGAACTTTCTTGTTTACTGTGTTAATCAAGGTTTATAAGAAGTTCAGAACGAAATGATGTTATTTTGGAGATAAAGAGGTGGACATTTACAGACTTTTTAAATGAAAAAACCCCTTTTTTACATTGAAGTAAAATCTGAGTTTTATATAATATAATCATGTAAATATTGACTTTTTGGTTATATGCATGTGCATACATTTACACAACTGTTTTCTCTCCTAGGATCCTTCTGTTACACAAGTGACAAGAAATGTTCCTCCAGGGCTAGATGAGTATAATCCATTCTCTGATTCAAGAACTGTGAGTAGTACAATAATTTCTTCAAAATGCTGTTAACCTTAGATTTCTGAGGTGCTGTTTTCACAGTGGGGACTGACGTTGTAAAATGTGTAGTGATCTAGCTACAGGTAGTGGAAGATGTGTAAGAATAAATAGTCACACTAAGTATTTGGAGCATTCAGTGGCAAGGTTGACTTAATTGAGCTTTGACCTGCTAAAGAAGAGTGGCTCCCTGAAAGGGGATCAAAAAAGAATTGAGTTTTTCCCTCTTTAGTAAGATTTCTGATAGTCTCTCCTAATATTTTTCTGCATTTCGCTGGCTTTAAAACTTTGCAGTGTGGCACACTTCCCTTGTGTCTTTATTTTGATTTCTGTTTCACTTAATGCTGGTGCTGCTGGGAATGAGGAAGATGTTATATTTAAGTAACAGTCTACAAGCTGTGGTGCAGCAGTAAAAGGAAAAGTTTATGTTAAAGAAACTCAGTTGGTTTTTGCCTCTAGTTTATATAGTTCCAATATACCTTGCACTGTTTTTATCCATTGGGATAAATATAAGGAATGGATAACAGCATTTTTCAGAGGCTGTTGTTGACCGAGAAGATATTGTGCAATAATAGCAAAATTTAGGGCTGATTACTGTCTGACAATATAATTCATAAACAGTCAAATACTGTATTTTTAAAATGTAGGCTTATTTCTTGTGGCAAATCTGGTAGTCCTGTTGGGGAGTGTTCATATTTGAGTATTTGCAATGTCATGGATGGAGTGACAGAATTCACTCGAGAGATGCAGCTATATATTAATTGATATAAACCAGCAATTTAACAAAAACTAAAATTATTTAAAAAATGTTTTAAAACCATTGTAAATGCAACAGTGGTTTAACGAGATTCGATGGCAAAGTGCATTTGATTACTGTCTAGAGGACACAAAACTGTCAGGAAGGGCCTCTCATTGAGTCATGAGTTTCAGAAAGGACCCCATTACATCTTGAATTCCTTCCCAAGGGGAGCTTAGGTGTGTATGGATCCAGAATTAGTCAATAGTTTGTGTCTAAAGGATTATATGTGCACAGTAAATCCTTCTATCACATAGCTAAAATGTCAGAGTTTAGCATCACTTACTGAGAATAATGTTGTGGCAAGGAATCTCTCAGCTTCAAGGAGTAACCTTGAGAGCTGTCCCTACCCAAGGGGAGAGCCTGGTGTGCAGCCCACTGCTGTGAGGGAGAGATCAAGGGGCCCTGGGCTGTCCACTATTTATGGAGTAAGATGATTGACTTGTAGTCGTATTTTCATATCCCTTACAGAAGTTAGTTTATTCCAAACTTCATGACCAGATGGATCCATTACAACTGTCACTGGCTGTAACCCCTTGAGCAGGCTTATGGGAAATAGTGGGGGTAGGGAGAGCACACCATCACAGCAGTGAATCAGTAAGATTTCATACAGTGTTAAAATGCTATGCTGGGAGAAGCTTCATTTTGGGTATGCCTTGGATCAGCTGTTTAAAGTAGAGTACGTACAATTAACAGCAATATTAAGTAAGTCTCCAAATTTTTTTTCTCCTAGCTGACAGCATCAGGAATTATGCTGGATTTAGTTTTTGGAAGCTTAAAGAGTTTCAGAATTGCATTGTAATGACCATTTGTTACAAAGACAATAGATGTTTAAAAAAATATAATCTTGAGTTACTCTGACTTTTTTTATTACTTATGTACTTATTTTAACATGCAGCTCTATGGGAAGAGGAGAACAGAAATGCATGGCTAAAGTTGTCTGGCTTTGAACAATCAGCTGTGCATGTATAAAAAATTGTAATTGTTCATTACAGGTGTCACTCATAGAAAACAAGGAATGTGGAGGAGTTCTGTAAGTCAGTGGTCAGATCTGTCAGGCACTGTGATTCAGTTAATAATCTATGGGATGTTAGCAAATTCATAAAAATTGTCTATTGAATGCACAGCTCTGTAGAGGAAAAGAACTTTCACAGGTTTTCTTGACGAAAGCAAGACTGAAAGAGTAAAGCAAATATTTAGTTGAGAGTGCAGTAATAATCAACCTTTACATATTACTCCCCTTCCTCTGTATCTTGTGGATGCTAAATATGTGAGTATTTATTCTGTAATTATATGCATTTTCAGGAATATACCTGGGTACCTGAGGATATACTCACAATTCCATGAACTCACCTCTCTTTACCTACCACTTCTGTATGCAAGAGAAGAGCATGTTATGTGTGTACAAAGAAACGTAAAAGAAAATGCAAGAGGAGTAAGGGAAGAGACAGTGGAGGTGAATGCCTTTAAAGATGAACAGAGATAGAGGCAGGGTCTATAAGTTTTAGACTTGGGGGAATACAGTGTCCATCAGAGTAGGGATAGAAATCACTCTGTTTTGTGTGCTGCTCAAAGCAAAAGCATCCAAATAAGTTTTTGGGGGTTGGTTTCCAGAATTCTAGTGGCAGTGACAAGATGGTATCTTGCAGTCTTTAGAATTAATACAGTGTTCAGTTTTGGTCCTTGCTGTACAAAAAAGATGTGGACAGGCTGGAGATGGTCCAGAGAAGGGCCACAAAAGATGATCAAAGGCCTGGGAAGCCTGCCATGTGATGAACAGCTGAGAGAACTGGTTTGTTCAGCCTTGAGAAAGAAAGGGAGACCTTATCCCCATATTCTAGTATTTAACAAATGGCTGCGGAGAAGATGGAGACTCCCTTTGTACAAGGAGTCACATGTAAAAGATGAGGAGTGATGGATACAAGTTATTGCTGGGGAGATTCCAATTGGACATGGGAGGAAAATTTTTCGCAATGAAAACTATCCACCATTGGACTTATCTCCCCACGGAAGTGGTGTATTCTGTAACATTGGACACTTTTAAGATTGAACTGGACAGATCTTGTCTAGACCATGCTTTTGCCAAGTAAGGCTGGACCCTTGAGGTCTCCTTCCAGCCTGGTCTTCTGCAATTCTTTCCCCCTTCCCTCCAAATGGAAGTAAATGAAGCATACTGGACTGCAAAAATATTTCTCTTTTTCAAATCCAGACAGGATTTTAATTGATATTTCTTCTGTAAGAATGTGACTTCAAACTGAATGCTAACATGCATTATCTTATTTCAGTTGTGTTCGCTTTGCCAAGAGAGATGCTTACTACGAGTTCTTTCTTGGTTGTCAGGATAGGACAGGGGGGGAAAAAAAGTAAATTCTACTTTTCCTCAATATTCAGACACAGTAGGTTTTGAGAAGCTCAGATATAAACCCCATTTGTCAAGGAGTTACCTGGCAAGTGTTTTTCTAGGATTTTGGTACTTCGGCCTTTTTGCAGTCAATTTATATCCTTTAACTTCAGTGGGAATTTTGGTAAGAAGGTAGCACATAAGACATAAGGAGGAAAGTGAGTGGACGTAGGAGATTTTAGGTCTCATGTGTCAACATCTTAATATCAGAAGTTTTGTGAGATTGTTTTTTTTTCTTTTTGCTTATCAGATTTCAAAGCCTGTCTTATTTTTTATGGTTAAACCAAACAAAATTTTCAGTGAACAGTGTAAATGTCAGATTAAATATTGCTGGCTGCATCTTCAGTGGTTTTGTCTCCAGCTGTAACAGTCACCATGGAAATTACATTGTGTCTTTTGTCATGTATCTGAAATTAACAAGGAACAGATGAGATTAGACAATTAGTATTTTTGCTTCATCATTTAATGAAACTCTGTCAAAGAAGTTTTGCTGCTTCTACGTTTTTTAACCCCTTTGAGCATTCTATGTATATAGGTATGCCATATGTACCTATACACAATAATGCATATAGGAATCAATTTCAAATTGCTGTATTAAAAATTGGAAAAAATCATTAGTGGAATTGTGTGGTTTGTTTGTTTTTGTTTCAAGAGACATATTTCAGTGGATTTTTTTCCCAGTTAATTCCTGGGTAGCTCCTCACCTTTTGTCTTGCATCTAAACACATCAACAAGTTTGTAGGAAGCCGAATTGACCATCCACACTTGGCTTCTTTTGGGAGTCTTCCCCGTGCCCCCAATAAATAAACTACTTCACTCATATGAAGATATTAGCTCAAGAGAGAACTTCTTTTGAGTTGTGGACAAGTTTAGTTAGATGGATTTTTTAAACTTATTGTCTTGTTTGAGTATTACTGCAGCCTTAGGCTGTGAACTACAAACTTTCACCTTGAAAAGCTGAACTAATCTTGAACTGTTACTTAATTTTGTGAAGGAGGACTCTGAGACCAGTGCAAACTGAAAGATTAAGAAGATGCAACTGTCAACAGAAGCTACTACCTGTTCAGATAAAAACACCTACAGAAAAAAACTAGAAGGCCCCAGACTAGAAATCACCATGGGACCAAAAGGCATGTGCAGGGTGCATAAAGAGCATGTGGAGAATGGATTCATCTGGTGTAAAGGGTGTAAAAGCCCAGGGATTTCTTTGTTCTAGGTCTCTATTGGAGGCACCCAGCTCAAGCTGTGCCTATTGTGATACCAATTCAGTTACTACATTTTTTTTTTGCCTGGGATCAAACATGGACTCTTTAACACAACTTTTTAAGAGTGGTGGTAATGGTTTGCTTCTTCCCTTAGTGCTGCTTTGAGAGCAAGGCATGAAATAGAATGATGAATCTCAGAAGTACCTTTGGGGTAGGAACAGATAGGGTTGTTGTAGAGTGGGCCTGATTTAATTTCAAGATATCACATATTCAAGTTATCATAATGTGTCAATGAGAGGTCATATACCCCTATGAAGAAAGTCCTTGTAAAAACAGTTGACTTAGTTCTCCTGTCCAAATGTGAGTGAGATAGCATAATATATTATCTATTTACTGATGGCTGGAGGTTAGTGCAGTCCTCACCACCTTCATGATAAATTTCTTCCTAATATCTCATCTAAATCTACCCTCTTTCAGTTTGAAGCCATTTCCCTTTGTCCTGTCACTACCTGACTTTACAAAGTTCCTCTCCATCTTACTTGTAGGCTCCCTTCAGGTACTGGAGGCTGTAATTAGA